CAGTTTCTTGGTTTGGGACTCTCCTTTTTCCCCCTTGGACTGGGTTTTGGTGCTCATAGGTTGTGGCGGTGCCATTGTTCCCTGTGGTGGCAGCTCTGAGCTGCTAGTCGGGCCACACTTCAGGCCAGACACATCTAACCTTGGTGCAGGGCAGGACTTTTCCCCACAATCCCCTTGGATTTTAGCCACTGTAGGTAACAACCAAGGGATTGTGTTTTTTGGCTTCTCATTATTTCACATTATTTTCTTCATGTATCTGTCTAATGAAACACTACCTTGGATCTACCATTTCTGATAGATCATGGCTAACTACACAGATTTATTTGACAAACAATGCTAGAAAAAGGGTGGAGAGGAAACCCCTCCCCAGTGATTCACTCTGCAGATATCTGCAGGAGCTCCAGCCAGGTCTCCCATGAGGGTAGCAGGGCCCTGAGTCCTTGCACTATCTTCCGTTCCTTCCTCAGACTTAACAGTAGGAAGCTGGACTGGAAGTAGCCAGGACCCAAACTGGACTTCCAGTGTGGAATGCTGGCACAAGTGACAGCTCCATCCACTGCACAGTGCTGCTGTCTCATGCCGTCCTTGAGTTAGGATTCACCCAGTACAAAAGTTCGTGAACCTCCACTCACATTCCTGTTTTCCCAGCAGTGCTTTTGCTTTGTTCCAATAAGTCGTGATTATTCTAGCAAGTCCCACTGGTGATGCCAGTCATGTCCCCGAGACCACCCACTGCTCCTCTGGCTGCTTTTGCTGGGCTCAGAATTTGGTGATATTCACACTTGTGGTTTATTGCATTGGAAGGATACAGATTAAAATCAGGAAAGGGTTAAGAGGCTTGGGTCAAAGTCCAAGAGAAATCATTGTAAACTGGAGAGTTGCAGGAGCATGTGTTTAATTGTGTGACACCCAGGGAAAGATCCCAGCCTGGAGAGCCAGCGTGAGGGTACATGCAGTGTCCACATGGCTGGCCTCAGCTACTTAGTCTCAGGTTGCTTCTGAGGTCAAGCCGATAGTGCCCAAAGGCTCAGGCATCTAAAAACACTTAAATCAGCAAGATATTGAAGGGCTCAGAAATGATTTCCCAGCAGCCAGAGGCCCGTTCTTTGGCATGTATAGGGTCTGAACTCCAAGCTACCAGCCTTCCCTGCAGTCACAGCATGTTTATAGAAATGCTCGGTTTGTGTGCGCATTGTTTGCATTCTTTGCCTTCTATCGCCCCTATCATGTTTGGATTACTCCGAGTTTCCCACACTAGCAGGAGGTTGTTTCCGTTCCCCAGCCCAGGACTGTTCACCAGCATGTGAATATTAATTTCTTCTCTCATCTCCCATCCCCCACGGTCCAAGGTCCCAGTTCTAATCTATTGCTTTTCTAGAATGTCTTCCAGAAAAATCTTTTTAAAATTCTTACTCATGTGGAATATATACAGCTTATTACATTTGTTACATGGAGTTCTCCTTTCAGGAGTTGGTGTTGTTCAGCGATGTCGCTATAGACTTCTCGGAGGAGGAGTGGGAGTACCTGGGCCCCGCTCAGAGGGACTTATACAGAGATGTGATGTTGGAGAACTACGGCAACTTGGCATCACTGGGTAAGTGCACCTGCTCCCTGCAATTCAGGAAATGCTCTCTCCACTGGAATTCTAGGGCCGCATTAAATATGTGAGTGTCTGTTCCCTCTTCTAAAACCCTGGTTTGAACTTTGTTTTGTTGGAGTAGTGTGCCTCTCTCAGGCACTTTCATATTTCCTGTTCTTCACCAACCTTGACAGCTTCCCCTGGCTCTTTATGCAATGGACTTTTCTTCTTGGTGTTTAAGGAGATGGATTATGATGGAGAGATGTTTGTGGAACAAGCTATAGAATTTAGGAGTAGAACTTCATTGAAAATGTAGGATGATTCATCTCCTGGCATTTTTTTTTGAAAGCTACAATCTACGAATTTTAAGATTAAAGGACTTTGAAAAGAAGAATCACTGATTATGTCTCGAAGTGGCTTGTTTTTCTTACCAAACTAACTAGAGATAGATCCCTCGTATAAATTTAGATAAAACTTACCCTGCTCGTTTGTCGTCTGATTCCTTCGGTCAGCCTAATGTGAACGTTTTCCACCTCTTCATTCTTCTGCCCAGAAGTTTTTCTGAGGCCTGTTTTTAAAGCATTTTTAAAACGAGTTTTAAGAATTAGACTGAACAATACGTGCCCACATACTCTTCAGCCAGTTCCCCCAGCATTAACAATTTATGTGCGCATCATACAATGAGTAAGCCAGAAAATGAACAAACAATACAATATTGGCAAAATATCGACATATTCAAGTCATTAACCGTCCTGGTAGTGGTTTTTGTACTGATCCAGGATCACACGTTGCATTTAGTCGTCACATCTGCATAGTCCCCTCTGGTCTTGGAAGTTTTTTCTTTCACGAACCATACTGGCCTGTTATTACATAGAATATCCCTGGATTGGTGTGTCTGGTACTTTATGATTGGATTGAGCATATGTGTTTTTGGCAAGAATACCACAGAAATGATGTTATCCCTTTTTCAGTGCATCATATCAGGAGATAAATGATGTCCACATGTCTTGTTACTGGTGATGCTAACTTTGATCTGTTTGTTAAAGTGGCGTCCTCTAGGTTCCGCATTGTAAAGCCACTACTTTTACTTTTGCAAACAGTAAGTAGCTTGTTGTGAAGTACTTTGAAACTCTACAAATATTCTCTTTCTTGTGATACTTTTCCTCACTTATTTTAGTTTTCATTGATGATTCCTGCATGCAATAATCATTTACGCTGGTGTTTGCCAAATGGTGATTTTCTGTTTCCATCATTCTTCTGAGGAAACTGAATTTGCTTTAGGTTCAACCAGCTCTAAGTCACAGTAGGTTTTGGTCTACATATTTTTAATATCCTGTTTCTTTGAGCAGGACTTGCCATTTCTAAGCCAGCAGTGATTTCCCTGTTGGAGCAAGGGAAAGAGCCCTGGGTGGAGAAGGCCGAGTGGTATCCAGGTGAGTGCGGCTTAGGGGCACGGGGTGCACTTTGGGAAGCCCGCACGGGGCAGAGCGGTGATGTACTTGTCCTAAAGTGCTGTAGGATAGGTTCTCTCAGAGGCTTAAGAAAAACTGAAAAATGGGGACAAATAGCAGTTTGGCTTCCCTCCCCGCCCCCCCACACAGAACTGAATGTATTAAAGTATACAAGCTGATAGACTTGAGTGTATGACTGTACTTGTACAATCATCACCAAATTAGGATAATAGCCACTATTGATCACACATATTGTCTCTGATCTAACAGGAAAAATTTCAGTATTTCATTATTGAAGATGTTTCAAAGTATGTTGAGTTACATTCATTGGTACTTGCGTTTTAAGCCCACATGTATTCGTGAAGCAAACGCTACTGAGTCTTGTTTATTGTATATATGGGAATGTATTTGCTAGTAAAAACTTTTTGCACTAGTATTGATGCTGAAAATGTGTTCTAACTGCTTTAGGAGTAAAAACTTGCCCTTCTGCCATGAGTTGATAGTGACTTCTTTATTCTGAAAGACTTTGAGTAGAATTAGTATTTTTCCTTGACAACTTGGTAGAATTCACCAGTTCAAGCCCTGTCTGCCAGGAGAGTGATATCTTTACTATGAATAAAGCTTCTGTAATTGGTATACAATTTGTTTATTATTTGTTTCTTGTGTGATCTATAGTTTGTATATAGTTAGGAATTTTACATATTTTTATAGATATAAGATGGCTCATCTTTCATTTTTACTACTTATGTAGGATTAATGACACTTTTGTCCCTGACATTTGTGTTCTCTTATGCTCCTGATCAGGTTGGCCAAGGGATTTATCAAGCTTGAAGATCTCAGCAACCTAGCTTTTGATTATGTTTGTGGGTTCTAGTAGTCAGTTCTTCAAGTGATTTCTATGTTACGTGGTTTTTTTTTCAAGATTTATTTATTTTTATTGGAAAGTCAGATTTACAGAGAGAAGGAGAGACAGAAAGATCTTCCATCTGCTGGTTCACTCCTCAAGTAGCTGCAACAGTTGGTGCTGAGCCAATCCAAAGCCAGGAGCCAGGAACTTCTTCTGGGTCTCCCATGTGGGTGCATGGAGAGCCATCTTTGAGCCATCTTTGACTGCTTTCTCAGGCCACAAGCAGGGAGCTAGATGGGAAGTGGAGCAGCCGGGATATGAACTGGTGCTCATATGGGATCCCAGTGTGTGCAAGGCAAGCACTTTAGCCACTAGGCTACTGGGCCGAGCCCACACTTATACATTTCCAATTGCTATACCTTCCTTATAAGATGCCCCTTTATGGTTATATCATCTTTGGCAATATAAGTAAGTTTGAAGTCTGTCTTCATCTGATTAAGGATTCCAATTATGCATGCTGTGTCTAGGCTGTTTCATTTCGTCTAAAAGAGGAAAATGTGAGTTTATTTATTTATTTTGTTTTTAGAATTGCCCTCTAGGTATGAGACTGAGGAGGTATCGCTAAACAATGACGCTTTTGAAAAAACACCATTAAAGTGGAAAGTAATGGAAAGTTCTTGCCTTGAGGAATCTTGCTTTGAAAATGTTTGGGAATACGACGAAAACGCTGAGACACAACCGGAAATTAAGGAAGAAATTTTGGAGCACGTGATTGAACCATTTGAAGATACATCAGCTGAGGAGACATCATCTGACTTTATCCCACCTGCACCATACGGTCTAAGTCAGATCCTTCAGAGTGGAGAGAAGCTCTATGAATGTAAACTCTGTGAAAACCTGACTCAGTATGTAAGAATCTATAACAATGACAAACTTAACCCAAGGTGTGAGAATAACTTTATGTTTTACACAGATCACATGAAACATGAGCAAAGTGTTCCTGGAGTAAAATATGAGGAGTTTCAGGATAACAATGACTTTGCTTATGACTTTCCACTTAGTCAATATCAACTCCTATCAAATTATAATAATGAGTATCAGTTATGTGGAGATACCTTTAGAGGTCATAGCTACCTTGCCCAACATAATGGAATTCATATTGGTGAGAAACCCTATGAATGTGAAGAATGTGGGAAATCGTTTATCTGCTTCTCAACCTTGATTCAGCACAAGAGAATCCATACTAATGAGAGACCCTATGAATGTATGGAATGTAGGAAGACTTTCAGGCAGAGTGCAAATTTAACCAGACATCAAAGAGTTCACAGTGGTGAGAAACCCTATGAGTGTAATGAATGTGGGAAGGCCTTTACTTGGCTTTCAAACTTGAACAAACATCAGAGAATTCACAAAGGTGAGAAACCCTTTGAGTGCAAAGATTGTGAAAAGGCTTTTCTCTGTTACTCAACCTATATTCAACACCAGAGAACTCATACTGATGAGAAACCCTATGAATGTCAGGAGTGTAGGAAAGCCTTTAGGCAGAGAGGACACCTTACCCAACATCAGAGAATCCACACTGGCGAGAAGCCATATGAATGCAAGGAGTGTGGGAAGGCTTTTGCTTGTGTTTCCTACGTTAATAGACATCAGAGAATTCACACTGGGGAGAAACCATACGAGTGTAAAGAATGTAAGAAGTCCTTTATTGATTGCTCAACTCTTATTCAACATCAGAGAATTCACACTGGGGAGAAGCCCTTTGAGTGCCAGGCATGTAGGAAGGCCTTTAGGCAGAGGGCCCATCTCACTCAGCATCAAAGAATTCATACTGGTGAGAGACCCTATAAGTGTAAGGATTGTGGGAAGGCCTTTACTTCTGTTTCACAAGTGAAAAAGCATCAGAGAATACACATTCTGAGGTAGGCATCCTAGCGTGCTCACATTTGAGTGAATCCTTACTCAGCACCACCAAATTCGTATTGGAAAGAAACCTTAGAAATTAAGAAATGATCGAAACACTTTCATCGGTCTTTCAGCTATCCTTTTAAATAATGAATTTGTGCTGATAAGCCTTACAAAAGTGAGGTATGTATAAAGACCTACCCTTATACCACAGTGAATATATAGAATTTATGATACGCTTAACGTAGGAAACCCTTGAATTTAACTAGCTATTATAGAACAGCAGACTTATAAAAGAAAATCCAGTGACTATAAATTTCTTCTGCTTTATAACTTATAATTCATTATCAGAAATTCTACAGGAAAGAAATAAAACACTAAATATTCTGTTACCACTAAAACAATAATGATGATTAATATCATAACTAGAGAATAACCATGCTGACTTTCTGAATGTAGAAAAACTTACCTGTAACACGAGTCTTTTGCAACACCTTTGTAGCTTTGCCATTTGCCACCTGTATTTTATTGCCAAGTACTTAAAAAAAAAACTGTCAGGTTACTGATTTCAACTTAGTGGCAAGAAGAAACTATAGTATCATCTCTTTGTTACTGCTTTTGGAACATTCATGTAAGATTTAAGCCTGTGAATAATACAGGGAACTCTACTACCATCCCAGCTTATCCAATATCAAAGCTAGGATGTTTTATTCTGGAACAAAATTAGCATGTAGCAAGTATGAGGCAATACTTATTTAAGCTTATGTAAGTTGAAGTCATAAGATTCATTCTGAAAAGACTGAATTTTTTTAATAGCGCTGATACAAAAAAGTAACGTCTATAGATTTCAAAAAGCAATGTACATTTTCTTACAATAATGCAAGACAGTTAGACACAATTGAAAGTTTTAAAGAAACTTTGTACTTTAAAAACACTACTCTCGCTATGTAACTCCTGGACCACGTGACAAATGCAGCCTAAAATGAAAGGCTGTTTATTTATGAAAGGTGATGAGCAGTCTACAAAATGAAACCCAAGCTCTCTAGATGTTTTGGATAAGCTTTCAAGCAGAAAAGCAATAAACCCAGAATGAACACTGGAACTGTAGCATGTAAATCAGTTTATTCAGTGGGTTGAAATGAGTGCTTAGAGGAAATTAAATGAGTAAACAGTGGACTTAATATAAAAGCTGTTTCGGACGAGCTGATTTATAGACTAGGTCTTGCCTACCATGAATAGGAAAAATGAGACAAATGCAACAATGCAAATGGAAAGGTAGACTATTCAGGCAGTCCATTTTTTAATATCGTGAAGTGTTTTGTAATATTTCAATTTAGTTTGAAATATCTAAACTTTATTTTATGAGAATATATGTTTGTGATTCATGAACCTGTAGAAAGTTGAATAAACTTTCTTCAAGGGAATGACCTTTAGAAAATAGGAGATTGCATTTTTCAAGGAAATTTTGAAGGAAAAGTTACAAAAAGCTTGTTAGTTCCTTCGACAAGGTTAAGTGACCTTTGCAAAAAAGTGAAAAAGGGGATAGGACAATGATAGCATTGCAAGAAGGAAGGGAAATGAGAATACAAGTAAAGGCAGAAAAAATAGAGAATAGGCATGTTGGAAGGATCATATAGTGAGGTAACTTTGTTAGTAATTAAAAAAACTCGTAACCTATATGGACTGGTTATTATAGTTGATTTTTTTTTACTTAAAATAATATGCTATTTACAAGTCACTTAGAACATAATTTCACAAAAGGATTGAGATTAAAAGGATAAAAAAAGTTACACTGATGAGATGCTAGACAAGGAAATATACCCTCAAGAAAAGATTTTAAGGACAAACAATAGTTGCCATGTTTGCAAATATGCTTTTAGATAACACCTCTGAGTAACCATTGCTAGATGAAAATATCTCCGTGGAAGTGCATGCGCACGATTGGTAACTTCTGGAATGCAGTTGTAGTGTCTGGTAGGAAGTGTTCCCAGGAAGCTGAAATCAATCACCTATCCTCAGACGATAGCAGAGGAATTTTACAGAATCAAAGGGAGAATCGATTAGCAAAAACCAAGTTGCAAGTGGAATTTTAATATAGCCTTTTAAAGTAACAGTTGACAGATAGTGGGGTAATTTTTTGGTGAATAAATGCTACACATTCTTAAAAAAAAAAAAAATGTGATTCCCAAGAGGGCATGACAGGATAGAAAGCGAGGTGTGTAAAGAATGTACAGCTTCCGCATTTGTATTCTGCCTGCATAGTGTTATCTTGGAGTCCTGTACCACAGTTAACGGAATCGGACCCTTACTGAGGTACCTGTTTTTTTATCCTTTGAAATAAACACGAGATGACTATCCTTGTATATATTACCTAGTGTCTGTATGCAAATAACGTATCAAAGGTGTATCTGCCGTGAGTTTGCTGGGTCAGTGCCTCTGTGCATTTTTAGTAAGGCCAAATTGCCTTTGTTTAGTTCTACTAATTTACATTCCTTCCTACAATGTAGTAGTAGAATGCCCATCTCTCTATATAAGGGGTTTTCAGAAAGTTTGTGGAAAATGTGTATTATGAAAAGAAACTATGCAAGGATTTCAAAAATAACTTTTTTTTGCACCAAAATAAACTTTAATTCCATTTTTCCACAAACTTTTTGAATTACCCTTATACTTAACGCTGAAACGGTTTTGTAAACTCTAAATTCTTGCTGGTCTGTTAGTGGGAAGTGTTACTATACTTTTAATTTGCATTTTTATAACATGTAGTTTGCATTTTCCCTACTATGCATTTTCTTATTTGTAAATACTATTTAAATTTTCTGTGAAATGTGTTTTAATGCCATTTTTTGTTGAGTGGTATTTTTCTAATTGCCTTTTCAGACCTCCACATATGAGATACTAACTTTTCCTTCCCAAGAGTTCGTTATTTTTTTCCACTTAGAAGTTTCAGTTGGTAAATTTACCCATCTGGATTTGTTTGGCTTCTGTTTTTGGTGTTATGTTTATGAATCTTCTTTTTCCACTCCATTATATTTTTTAAAATCCCTAACGTTTGTTTTTTTATGGTTATGTTTTATTTAAGTATTGGGCTTACTCAGAGTTTGGGGGTCTCACACTGAGTTAGGCAGGGACACGGTGTTATTCACAGATGGTCACACACTTGTCTTGTACCAGATACGTAATAACCTACCTTTGTCGTATCACTTTTAAATGTAAACTTTACAATAAGCTAAGTTCCAGTAGGTATTTGGATTTGTTTTTGCCTCTTTATCCTGTTAATCTGCCAGTCTCTTCTTGTATCATAATCCAATTTATTTTGATGTCATGCTTTCTAAAATGTTTTGATAGCTGGGGAGCCTTGAGTCGAGTCCGCTCCCCTCATTACCCTTACTTTTTGCTTGTCTATACTGTTCCACCGTAACTTCTAAGATGCCTTTGTGACTTGTAAATTCCTGCTGGAATCTTTTTTACTTTCAAATTAAAACCTGAAATGACTAAAATTAGAAATGAGTAAACATCATTCTGTCTAGAAACTTGCTTATGCGGGTACAGTATAAATACATGTACTTGAAAACATTGTATGTCCCTGTGTTGTATCCTTTTTATATACATACATCTGCTAATTAGAGCATTTCTGTAGATTGTTCTGATTTCCCCTTAGCATCTCTGATTTCATATGCGAGTCTTTTTCTGTGTATTTTGTGCCCAGTTCACTGAAGTGTGTCTACTTATTATTTTTAAGGGAATCTTTTGGGTTATTATTATATGCAGTTACATCGCATGCAGAAAATAACTTCCTTTTCCTAGTGTGTCACACCTTTGCCTTTAGTAGAAATTATGCAAAATAAAGAGTAGCTAAGAGAAAAATCAAAGCAGTCAAGACATGAAGTTTTCTGAAACCCCGAATGCTCATTCTCATCAACACTAATATTAACAAGTGAATACCTTTAGGCCAAGACACCTCAAAATTGTTACAGTAGAACAAGGTAAGGTTATCAAAATCTGACAAGTGTAGTCATTCCCAAATAAATCTGATACATGTATAGATGCAGAAAATTCAGTGTTAGCATCAGGCGACAGATATGGTTATCAGCAGAGAAAAATTTGATCAGTATGTTTTCATTGGGTTATATAAAGCAAAAATAAGAAAAGTCAGTAATTCACATCTACAGAAATGCACTTTATACATGTCTACACTCATTACATTTAAAAAAAATAATTGCAAATTTACACAGTTGGCAATAAACTAGTCATTTCTCAGAAGTCCACACAGGAGATGAAGGGGACCAAGCCCGATCACAGTAACCAGTGCAATTAGCAGTCACCTCACTGTCATCCTGAAGCCACCTAGATACCACAGGCGGGGGCCCCAATGCAGATTGGGGTGCTTTCCTGTGAAGGAAAGAAAAGATACAAAGGGATAGAACAAGGGAATTCAAAACTAAATACCTGAAAGGGGCAATATGGGTAGGTGGTTCCAGGAGTGCTGAGGCCAGGAATCGCCACAGAATGAATGTAATTTGGAAGACTTCCCCAGGAGCAGAGATCCAACAGCACCGGTGGGATCTAGCTACTTACTGAGCCAAATGTTCTTTGGGGGGCTTGATATTTACATAGTTTTGGGGGGGTTGATGTTTACATAGTTGTTCAGGGTGGAAAGGATCTAGGATCAGAAGCTGGGTGAGTCAATTGTTTACACATTTTCTTTTCCTGTATCTGGGGGAAGGGGTAGGAGATACAAGGGTAGAATCCACGCCAAGTCTCCCAAGCACCTTAGTACCTAGGGATGGGGAACAGCCACCCGATGTCATCCCAGGGTCCCCATTGTGGAACATGTTCTGAGGGTTCTGCTCAAGTGGTTTTCATAGTTCTGAGATGCTGTTGATTATAGCCACTCTGAGGAAATCCTTCCAAGGTCAGTCAGCTGACAGTCTGCCTCAGTCTCGATTGGCCCAGAAATTCACTGTCAAGCTTTGCTG